TATATATATATATATATATAACCATATATATATATAAAACATGATAAATTTGGTTCCATCAATCAGAACTGATTTAAAGGAGGCACTCTGTTATGATATGCATGTTCATCAGGTAACTCAGTTGTGACTCATAATGAATAAATTTAGGTATTATTTTCATTTAAATTTGTGAGGACTGCAAAACCTAACAAAAGCAAACATGTTGAACATAAGCTAATTAATTAAACATAGTTGTCAGGCAGTAGTAAATAAGCAATTTAAACCAAACATTTGCTATAATTTCTGGTGTCTTTTAGTTTGTTCAAACTACTTATCTAAACTAAATGTCATCTTTATTATATAAACAATGAAAATCTTATTTACCGTATTTTTTGGACTATACGGTGCACTTAAAATCCTTTAATTTTTTTCAAAAATCGACAGTGAGCCTTATAATCAGGTGCATCTTATGTATTAATTCTGGTTGTGTTTACTGACCTCAAACCGATTTTATGTGGTTATTGTGAATGAGTTGAATAAAGTTTGACTTATCTGACTGTTTTGTTTCTCTTAATGCGCCTTATAGTCCAAAAAATACGGTAATATTAAGAGAAGGCAAGAGGCACTTTAACTATAGGAGACAAATCAAGGGCTTAAAGATGATTTGAAACTTTTGTTATTAAATAGAGATAAAAAAAATTAGCACTAAACAAGATCTGCATTTATATTTAAAATGTGTTGGTAAACAAAGTGACCGGTACTTAAAGCATAAATGTGATAACTTGGCTTCCTTCATTAGTAACAAGTTCATTTTAAACGTGGTTGTTGGTTTTTTTTTAATGCATAAACCACCTGAATTGCAAAAACGTTCTTTTATAAAAAACAATGGTTGTGAAACAAGTGAAAGCATAAAAAATAAAAAAAAATCACAAAGTGGAATTCTGCATTAATTTTGAAATCCTATTTGATATTTTAAGGAGTAATAATTAAATTAATGTGGCATTGGTGCAAGGAAGAGAAAAAAGCACAAAAAAAAAAGACTAAAAATCTTCAGCATGCCTTGAAGAATCTCCATAAACAGATGATGCAGCACCGTCTTTAATTTGCTGTGAATTGTTGTGGGATCATTTTGAACTTATGGGACTTTACCTGCTGATCCTGACGGTCTCCGAGTGTCTCCTCACTCACAGTTACCAGGTGCCAGTTTGTCAGACTGGTGTATTCATCCATGATGGACACCACTACAGCTTTAAGGTCTTCCTGGGAAGCAGAGCCTCCTTGAACTTCACTGTCCAAACGCTGACTCTGCGTTGCCAAGGCAATGCCTGCAGCACCTCTGATCATCTCATTTAAGACCATGGCAGCCTGCTTTCTGTACGCCAAAGACTGGCAGTACAAGTCCAATAGGTGATCAGTCAGCAGGTAGATGTTGCCATAATAACCTGGCCAAACAAAACAAAATAGCCAGAAGTTGTCATAAATTGTCAAATAAAAATAACAGGCAGGAAATTAACCTATTCATAATTACAGATGTTTTAAACACCGACTAAAACTGTCATTTGCCCAATTTTTTTGTTAAATCTATTTTATACAGCAATGTATTTGGATAGAGAAACAAAAACATATTTCAATTATAAAGTTTCAAGTTTATTGTATGCACACTCATACCTAATGTTCGGCAGATCTCCATGAGCACAGAGAAGATCCTCTCATCTGTAAAGTAGAGAAAATGCTTCCTGTGCACGTGAGCAGAGTAAGAGTCACGAGAGTCGGAGCTCGTCTCGATGGTGTCAGCGTAACTCCGTTCCTCTACGATACGAACATCCATCACATCCAACTCCAGAACCTGAAATGCATAGAGGGGGTCTGTTGTGTTCAAAACTATTTCACAAATATTTAAGGTAGACTATAGATTCTTGAAAACGAGACTAGACAGAATTCAAATGTCATAAATGGCCCTGTACTCAGCGGAGTAAAGGGTCAGTGTTAGTGTAATCTTTATAAAGTAAACAACAATTTGTGCTCATGTGGGTGGACATTAAATCTCATGATGGAACTAAAACAGAATTATTAACTTATAAACAGAACTTACAAGGTATACATGTCAAATGTATTCCTAAGTATGTGATATTAAAGGTCAGAATCTAACCCCAGGGTTCTCAAACTGTGGGACTGGTATCACTGATGGTCCTCTGTCTCCCTCTAGTGGTAGTTCATAGTTTAGATATCAACTACTGTACAAGTTAAAAATGCTGCAAGCTGAACTGTGATAAAAAAGATAAAGAGCAGGGAAAGCAAAAAAAGTGAGTGGTTAAGCACTTTACAATTTTGGCTGCAAATGAAAACAACAGGAAAGGAACTTATTTTAAAAAGAAACCTGAAGTGGACAACAGTGAATCTGGAAAAATCAAGGGTAGCAACTGAAACTATACCAGTGAAGTCTCTACTCTGCACAAACAACAATTAGTGCAAAACATTTATTATTTTTACTCCGCCAAAGGCAATAGGACAATTATGTTTTTGCCTGTGTCTCAGTATGTTTGTCATGTTAACTAAATATCTCAAGAACAGTGGATTTATTTATATTAAGTCTTATAAAATAATCTTTGAGTGAGCTTCTACAACTGATTAACTTTTGGAATCAATCCACTTTAAGATGGCTGCCACAGTCAAACTACTTTAGCAAACACAAAAATGTCTATAACGCTACGCATTTTACAGATATTAAGCTAAAACCTGGTATGGTAGTAGTTGAGAGTCATCCCTAACACACACTCCAAGCACTAACTGATTGTGTGAGATCTGTTCTCAAACCGTTATTATTGCTGTTAATGCTGTCTGTCTGTTGGCAAAGAGTTACCCCAATTAAAGATGGCTGACTCAGGTTTTCGACCTTAGCCTTAGCGTCTATAACTCCGCTTGTTTTCATAAGCTGTTCTTATTTTAAAACTCTTGGTGGCGGGTAATATGCATTCAGTCAAGGATTGCTAGGCTTTAGGTTTAGTTTGACATTGTGAGTCAAAGGAAGAGCTATGTTTGATGGTAAGCTTTGCAACAAATGTATGTACATTGAATGTTTGTATTATTTTAGGTGACACTTGTTATTAAAAAAGAGAACCACTGATCTAATTTAAGATTTTGGTTGTCACATACTTGCATCAGCGCTTTAGAGATTCTCTCCAGATGTGCTGCAGAGTTCAGCACCACAGAGACAAGTGGTCCCAAAACTTTTAGGTAACCTAAAAACACGTTGAGGACAAAGAGCTTCTTCTGGTCATCAGAAGTTCTCATCAGTCTGGGCAGGGATGTGGCCAAAGAGTGAAGATTCTCAGACAAGACGTTGGTGAAGTTTTGACTAGTAGCATCACGGCAGCTCAGACTCCTCTGTGAGATTTCCCTGAGAGCAGCCTCACACCTTCAGAAGAGGACATGAGCTTGAGTTAACTCTCTATATTAGATTTTTCCTCAGAAAACAGAATCAAAACAAACCTCTCTCTGACTTTAGGCTCTTCGTCATTGATTGCTCCCACCAGTGCTTCCAGCAGCGGCCCAATGCACTCCTTCAGTGACTGACTGCATGTGGCCAGCAGATGGTTGGCCAGCTCTACCATCTCCAGTCTTACCCTCCAGTGACGGTGGGCCGACGTGCAGGAGATGATCTTCTTCAGCAGCACAGACAGCTTCCCTGCTGTACTCTTCAACCATTGTGGTGTCCGCTGGACCACAAGCTGTCTGATCCTGCCCAGGTCCTGTGGGGGAGTCTTCTGGGAATTACTGGTCTGCAGCTGGGCATCTTCCATAACCAGTCCCACAGACCTGGACCAGACCTGGATACAAATAATAATAATAAAACCAGTGTTGTGATATGTAGTTTTAATATCACAGAAACACCTCTGAATATTTTGTTGAGACATTTGTTGAAACATGTGCAGTTCTAATCAGGTTAGAAGGCAATTTTATATAATCAAATAAATTATATAGCACATTTAAAAATAACTGCTGTTGGCCAAAGTGCTGCACACAAAATGATAAATAGTATAAAGATAATACCAAACACAGGAGAACATAAAAATTAACAAAAATATGATAAAACATAAAATAAATTAGAAGAAAAAAAAAAAACAAGCATTAAAATTAATCAAAAAAAATTTAAATTTCATGCTGTATTAAAAGTGAGTGAGTATACTGTAAATGTATTTTAAGATAAAACTTAGAAAACACCAATACTTGAAGCCTGTCTAATACAAAGGGGAAGCTGGTTCCACAGTTTAGGGGCTGCAACTTAAAAGGCCCGATCACCTCTGTGGTCCAGACTAGACCTCAGGGTCTATGAGATCTGGAGGACACATGAGGCTGCAGGAGGTCAGAAGATATATAGGCGCTTTCCCATTCAGGGCCTTACTGGTCAATAATAAAACATTATATATATTTAAGCTGTCTTTAGAAACACTTTTCCAGGTATGCTTTTGGTACATTAGCTGTGTGTACTTTTGTTTATGTAATTTATGGTTTAGTACATTTATTGTAGCAAAAATTATCTAATTATTTATCTCAATTCAATAAGTTATAGAATATTAAAAGCATGAAATTTTAACCGGGACAGAGATTAGGTACCTTGATGGCCCTGACTGTCACTGCATGGCCTTGTCTCAGATCTCCTGTGATGATCCTGGCTATAGCTGTAGTGATCCCAGGTAAGAAGGAAGCCATGTTGCTGCCTACAGAACATCTCTCATCTGAGGATGGAATGATGTGTTCATGAGTGCAATCACAATGCATAACTAAAGTCTGGAGACACTTCAAGGCAGCTGACTGTATATCTCTGGATTTCTCCTTCTCTCCTAAAGCCAGCAGCAGTGATATGGCAGCACCCAGTCCAGGCAACATGATGGGTTCATATAGTTTGAAGATTATATCTCCATAGGCAGCGTGAAGCAGAGCATTAAGGCATCTGAGAACAGAAGATTTCAGCTCCTCTGATGCGTCTGCAGGTGTCCCGGGGTTTGTGGGAGAGCAGAGGCAGAGACAGAGCTCTGAGAAAATGTCATGAAGGGTGTCCCAGCTCTGGACACAAGTCTTCTCCAGGATGTAGCTCATTGCCTCAGCCACAACCTGCACCATCTTTTCCTTCTTTGACCCAGGGACTTTGAGGACAAAGCGAAGAGGAAAGAGGACATACTCTTGGAGCTGCTGCAACGAGGCATCGTGGATTTCTTTTAACTGGATGCTGAGCGTCTCCACGTTAGTCACAGTGGGCTCCTTAGTGAGCAGGACGCAGGCTGGGCGCAGGTAGGCAAAAGCAATTTTTGGATCATTAATCTGAGACATAGTTGGAGGCATCACAACAGGGGCCACTTCTGTAGGGAAGCATGGAAAGGTGACAGACATTATAAATTATTATGCACAGTACACAATAATGTAAATTACTGTGTCCATTTGGTTATATATATATGTATGTATATATATATATATATATATATATATATATATATATATATATATATTACAGCTATTGAGCAAAAATAATTTGTTTACATTTTAAAACCTCCACTTTGAGACTTTTTGCTTCTTTTTTTTCCCCCATTCAACCTTTATTTAGACAGGTCCACTTAGAAATGGGTCTGCATTGAGTGAGAAAATAATAGTAATTTTCTACGTGTTACGACGTCCCATAAAGTTGAATAATGAAGTCTATTACCAACATATTGATGATGGCGATGGTTGAGCACAAGATACCAACTTTTGGTCTTGAAAGAAGTCTCGTTAGCATCTGAAGCTAACCTTCAATATGAGTAAAATAAAGATGATAACATACCTTCACATTACGAGACAATAAAGAGTTGTTGGTGAACAGTAATTGGTTTGATTTTTTGTTTAAAAACACATGTACAGTATCAGACTGCTGAAGTAAACGCTATAAAACAATCGTCATAATTCTACGTCCATTACGGCGCACAATTGTGACGCAAGATACAAAAAATCCGGTTATTTTCAAAATAAAAGTTTTGAAAAATGCATTCTTCGAAAAACAAAGCGCTTTAGAAATTATGTGCTCGCAGCTGGTTTTTTTTTCTGTTCAAACACATTTGATATTTAGTTTAATTCAAAACGTGATTATAATGAAACTTTTTTGCTTTTTGACTGCTATGAAGCAAACCTGCTGAAAAATCTCAAAAACGTTGAGCTCATCGATTCAATGCAAAAATGCGCAAATTAAATTAAATTCTCCAATGCACACATATTTGGACATGAAACAGATAAATATGGTTTATACGAGTAATATTTAATTAAAAAGCTTCCACGTTATTGACAAAAATAATTGTTTTTGTTATATTTTGAAAATAATTTAACCGGAAATCGTTGCTGCTACTTTGACAAGGTTTTTTTTTTCCTGGTCTATGGCTTTAATTCAAATATTTTGCATTAATAAAACAGCTAATTCTGTTGTTGACACTTTTTACGTCATTGCGGTGAATGTCAAAAAACTCCAGTAACGGCTGAGGTAATGAAATTACTACTGTTACCCCTACTGATCACTCGTAAATGTTAGCCGAAAGTAGGCTAGTATTAGCTAAAACAATCATACAAATCAAATGTTAAAGTGTTATTGTTTAGTTACTTCAGTAGGAAGCTTTTTAATACAGCTTACTAACTTAGTTACTACAGGAGATTCGTTAAGCTTCGTTTTTTTAATACCTTTTTTTATTTAGAAACATAAACGTCAAGTCTTCCTTTTCATAAATCTAGCTAGCTAAATCGAAATCTGGGCACACAGTTTTTAATAGAAATAAGTAATGATATGTTAAATGGTGAGTTGTCTAATTACATTGTAGTTAATCTTCTTTAATGCATTTACAGATGCTTACTGTATTCAGCTTTGCATGTTCTTTTTTATTTTGTAAGGGTTCCATGCCACTGCTGTCCCACTCTGTTCTAAGTCACCAGTCACCAGTATGGATGAAGAAAGCCTTGAGGCTGCGATCGCTGCCTATAATGTACAGCTACAGCAGGTGGAGATGGCCCTTTCAGCTGGCCTGGACCCCAGCCAGCAGCCAGACCTGCTCAAACTGAAAGAAGACATTTGCCAGCTGATAGAACTAACTGAGGCCAGCCTGGTGTCTGTCAAAAAGAGTCGGCTGCTGTCCAGCCTGGAGGACAGTAACGAACTGCAGATAAACACCTTAGAGACAGCCGGTGACACCAATAGTGCAAATGGCAGTCTGGCCGCTGAGTTTGCTGCTTTTTACTCTGAACTGGGAGAGTGTTCAGGCAGCAGCTCTGATGCTAGAGAGAAAGATGAAGTGGAAGGTGGAACGGTGGATTATGATGAGGAGGGAGAAGAAGAGGAGGATGATGAAGAAGAAAATACACTTAGTGGCACCAAAGTTAGAGCACCCTACAGAACAACATGGGGGACGCTAGAGTACCACAATGCCATGGTGGTGGGGGCAGAACCTCCAGATGGAGAAGAGGCACAATTAAGGGTGCTCTACATCTATCCTACTCAGAAATCTATGAAGCCCTGTCCGTTCTACCTGGAGGACAAATGTCGCTTTGAGGATAACTGCAGGTAACGCACTAAAGATTTGCGTTTAATTTGCTTGCCTATTTATTATTTTTATGCATTAATTAATTTATATTTATGAATTAATTTGACTAACGTGAATCTGCATAATAAAAACACTATAAAGTGTGTTTTAATAACGTTTATCCTTAACATGTATTATTCCTGAGCTTTTATTTTGAAGAATTCACCTTTATATTGAAAGGTTTGGCCTGTGTTTCACCCCAACAAGAATGAATTACTTTGTTTTTACTATTAATAACTGTATAACTCACTTGAACTGAGTTTCAGCTACGTATGGAATTCTAAACTACTCTGTTAAAATTAAAGGTTTTCTCATGGTGAGGTGGTTTATATGTCAGAGCTCAGAGAGTTCCTGGACTGTGACCTCAGTAATCTTGAAGAGGGTTCAGCCTGCTTGGCTCGACATGAGGACGGCATCTGGTATCCAGCCAAGATAAAAGGTATTTCATAAACTGTTGTTAGTCATAATGTAGGCCTCTTTTTCAAAATTGGGTCTAACAAGTCATCATAATGCAAATTTACCACATTAATTAGGCAATCCATGTAATTCCAAGTTTTTAAGATTTGTTTTCTTTTTCTATCTTAGAAATTGACAGTGGGTTCTACACTGTAAAGTTTGACTCACTGCTGTTGAAAGAGGCTGTAGTTGAAGCTGACGGCATCATCCCACCTCTAAGAGAAGATGACCCAGTCTCCTCCGACTCTGACACAACGGACACGGGAGATGGAGAGGCTCTGGGATACGCAAAAGGTGCTTCGACTTTTTGATTTACAAAATCAAATACTTTGTGGGGAAATATATTTCTTTGATTCATCTTGTGTTTGCAATGTCCTTGGTGTTAAATGTTTCTTGTTTAAAATGTAACTTTCTGCTTTGTCTTTTTGTTGCCACAGTTCTCGACTCTGCCATGGAATCTGCAACAACATTCAACAGCTCTAACTTTGGTGGTTGGGAGGCACACACCAGAGGCATCGGATCCAAACTTATGCTCAAAATGGGTTATGAATATGGAAAAGGTAAGAGTAAATGGCACCGATAGCGTTTTAGGTTTTGAACTCCCATCAAGCGTATGATAATCATATTTCTCAATTCTGACAATGTCTGATGTTATTTGTTTTTAAACAAGCTGCATTGAAGACAAATAACAAAATTTAAGTTGTAAGGCGGGAGCTAGTGATTAACAAGAGACAAGGAGGCTCTGTTTCAAGCTAAAGGGTCTTTTACAAAGAAAGTAACATTTGTTGGTATTTAAAAAACTGTCGCTTTTAAAGGTACATTTAAATTAAATTGTATTGTGTTGCAGAGGATGTATTTTGTGTATTTACCTCAGCAATATATCGGGATCAGAATCAAAGAAGAAATCGTTAGCTAGCAACATTAATTTAATTTTACATCAATAAGAAATGTATTTTACAACAAGGTCACAAGGTTCTTGTAAATGAATTCACAAAACATAAAGTGTCCCTTTTCTTCAGATAAATAGTTTTTTGTTTCCTCAGGTTTAGGGAAGCTGCAAGAGGGTCGAGTGGAGCCTGTGATGGCAGTCGTCCTCCCAAAGGGAAAGTCTCTGGACGAGTGTGTGGAGCTCACACTGAGACGCACACAGAGCAGGACTGCTAAAAATGGCACACAAGCTGCCCGTCCGAAACGGCGCAGAAAACCTCGAGCCGCGACCGGAGAGCGCAAAACTGTCTTTGACTTTTTAAACCACAAGTTAGGAGACAGGAGCACAGGTTCTGCAGAGGGGGGCGCTGCTGTGCCGTCGGCAGTGACAGGGGTGGAGGCTTACAGAGCAGGAAAAAGCACCAAGAGGACTTTGAATGTGAAGCTGTTTCAGGCTGCTCAGAGGGTGTCCCAGACTGAGAGGGAGATCCAGAAACTGAGCGAGTCTCTCAGCAGACAGACAGGCAGGTCAGTACTGGGACAAGAAAAGTTCCTGAGATTTGATGCATTGTTTGACTTGACTGTTGTCAATTATTGTGTCCTTTCAGCTTTTATTCACATTATTACTAATCTATCTATTTCTGTGCACATTGTTTTCTCTGGGTACTCTGGTTTCCTCCCACAGTCCAAAAACATGATGTTATGCTGCATTCAGGTCCAGGCTTCCCTTGCAAAAGAGATCTGTGATCTCAGTGGGATTTGCCTGCTTAAATAAAGGTTAATAATAATATCAAAGCTCATGCTCAAAAATTCTGGTAAAAAAAAACAAAAAACAAAGTTGAGTCAGGTCATCTGGATGGTCTCTTTTTTGGCTGCATCAAAGGAGTCAACTGGGGAGAGGGCAGGCCCCAGAAACCATCTTATCACCAGCAAACTGGTTGGTCCACTATGTGAGTGTGCTGCTTGTGGGACTGAGTTTGTTGTGGCTCTTCGGATTAATGAAGTCCTTTGGATAAAGGATGAAGTCTCAACAAAATAAGAAACGGTCTAGATGATCTGACTGAACTTTGTTGGGTTAATAATAATAATAATAGGTGCTATGACTTTTGATTTTTGTAACTTTATAATTTTCAACGTGTTAAACTTCATTGATAAATATCGTACCCACAGAAAGATAAGATCTCAGTTTTTTCAGAAACATTGCTCTTTAGCATTTTTTCTTCATTTTTGTCTCCTCGTACTACTTTTAGCTTTTAGCTTGTCTTTTGTTATTTTTAACTTTTTGCCAACACTTCTACATTTTATGTAGCTTTGTTCTTTTTATCTTGCCTTCTTTTAACTTTAACAATTCAGTTTCAACCTTTTAAGCAAATTTTGACAGTCGTTCAGTAATCACATAGAAATGCAAATTATTTAGTTATTTATGTCATTAATCACCAACTAAGTGAAATGCAGTCCCAACGTTGTTGTTCTCGTCTAGCTCTTTACCAGCAGCTCTAACCTTTAGCATAATTACAGACACATAAGCAAAGATACACAACTAACATTTGTTAACTCTTGTAGCTTTGATTTTCTTTTTAAGTAAGATAGTTACTAATTTGAATTCACAGAAATGAATTGTGGGCGGTGTTAAAAAGGAAATGTAACACTCCTGGGCTAAACTTTTGCTTCCATAGAAACTAGTGTTGGTAAAAAAATCTTTTGACTTTTCACGTCTCACCTTCTCATTAATATCTTTTTGCTGTTTCTGTTTACAAAGGGACGCGTCCAGAGTCAAGCAGCTGGAAGAGCAGCTGTCTGCGCTCCGCCGCCTGCTGGCCCAGCAGAAAGCTCAGGAGCTGTCGATCCAGAAAGAGCACAAGAAGGCGGACACACACAAGAAGATGACAGAGTTCTGAGCTCAGTTTTCACTGAGTTTCATAAAGACTAGAAATAAAAGAAAACACTGCCATCCTGAAAATATATTATGGTTTTGGTCTTGTTTTTAAAATATTTTTTTAGCATTATTTGTCTCTGGCATTTTGTGCATCTCATTTCATTTTCAAGGACAGATCTCTCTTTTTATCAGTGGAGGGGAGTCTTAACCACAACATTCTAAAAAATCTCAACATTTGTGGCTGTTATGAACATTTGTATTCTTCGCCGCAACTAAAATCTTTTAAGACTTGCACATTTTCTTGTGTTTCTAACTTCACAACTAAACTCAAGTGTAAAGAAACATTTCTTTTCCTTATTTTTTTCTTTTGGTGTTCTTATACTTTTCTGAAAGAGTTTTCACTTGTTCTGGCCAGCAGCTTCTCGCATGCTTACTGCAGTTTATTCAGAGTATCACAGTGATTTCTAAATTATGTCCTCAGGATTTAAAAGTCACACCTAAACCTCATATGGCTCGTACTCTGCGTCTTTGAAGCTACAACCGTGACCTCCGTATTAAATAATACATATTGGGAGTAGCTTGTTTACTCGCAAATCTGATTCATTTTTTTTCCTGAAGCAACTCTTTCCCACCTTGAAGTCTTTCAGACTTGAGTAAAAGGTTGGGATTGTGATGTTGGGCTGTGGAACATTATTTTGTTTTGCTATTAGTGTGTATAGTAACGGTAAGATTTAAAAACTCTTAATGTTTGCTCTTAAATGATAGGCTGGAAACCATTTAAGTCAGCGGAGGAAACAAAAGTCCATCAGCAAATCATAACCTCACGAGCCCTAAAGGGAAAGAGATGGTACAAAACCTAAGCTAAGGTGATGCTGACCCTAGTATGTGGATGGACCCTGGCCTGGAAGAGTTGATGATGACCACACTTGCAGAACTCCTGAATCCTCTCTACCCTGAGGGAAGCCCTACTCGCGCTCTCTTCTGTTGAGTGGCAGCACGTTGACTGCTGGTGACCGGAGGGATCACATGGAATTTGCTGATTGTTGGGGAAAATGGCAAAATGTACCAGGCTTGTGGATTTAATGGGATCCCTTGAGGGTCCATGCTTCGCACCTTCCCCATTTATGAGCCCCAGGTCTGAGCTTACTGCTGCCAAGTCAGACAGATTTACTGTGTGTTGTAGGACGTCTGCGTGCACCTCACATCCCTGCTAACATTTGTCTCGTATGGATGCCAGCAGACCTGATAAGGGGTTTTCTACCTGTCTTTTACTTACTTTATCCAAATACTGGTACTAGTTATGGCTGTATCTGGTTTGTACCAGGTGCCTACAGGAACGGGCTGTGTCTCAGTCCAGGTAAGGTTATCCTCCAGAGTGTCGGGGGTTCAATCCTCAGCTTGTGTCAGAGGGTCTTTGGTTCTTGAAATAAAAATGCTCCATACTAATTCTAAAATATATAATGGAAAACATTAAGTTTGTGTATAAACGAGTGAGTAGGAAACATTGTAAAATGGTATGCAGAACTTTGAGAAGCAGTTTTATATGTGTGAACCAATTACTATTTATTATGTTTATTATATAAGTTAGGGCAGCATGGTGGCACAACTGGTAGAGCTGCTGCCTCTCGGTGAGAAGGTCGACGTCTCAAATCCCAGTCCTGGGACTTCTCTGGGTGGAGTTTGCATGTTCTCTCCGTGCATGCACAGGTTTTCTCCAGGCAATCCGGTTTCCTTCCACAGACCAAAATCATGCATGTTAGGCTGATTGGTAACTCTACATTGTCCCTAGGTGTGAGTGAGAGAGTGGATGGTTGTTTGTCTCTATGTGTCCCTGTGATGGACTTGAGACCTGCCAGGGTGTACCCCACCTCTCGCAAAGTGATAGCTAGACACGGGCACCAGTGACCCCATGACCCAAAAAGGAAGAAGCGGGTAATAGATAATGGATGGATGTATTAATAGGTAGTTGGATACCTATGAGGACTGTGCCGTATTTGAAAGTGACATATATTACCCTGTACCCACCAGGTAGGTTGCTGTTGGTACAAACCAATTATGTACCAGGCATCATTATTCATTGCTACTCTGCCCATAATTCTCAAAGTTATTTTTGTGCTTTTTATAGTTTTTCTATTTATCAACCATAAATAGAAGAAAACCTTTTGAATAAATAATATGTATTAAAGTTCATGCTCAATAATCCAGGAACAAATCCAACAATATTCAGTCAGGTCATCTGGACGATTTCTTTCTTTCTTTTTTTCCTGAGACGTTTCATCCTTCATCCAAAGGACTTCTTCAGTCTGAGAAGCCACAAACAAACTGGAGTGCCACAAGCACCAATTACCATAGTGGGGGGGGTGGGAAAAAAGTTTGCTGGCGTTAAGATTTCTGGGGCCCGCCCTCTCCCCCATCAACTCCTCTAAGGCAGCCATAGCCGAAATGTTTCAAAGCACCAACTTTGAACTTTGGCGTTTTGAACCATTTTGGCACGGCTGCCTTAGAGGAGTCAACTGAGGAGAGGGCGGGCCACAGAAATCTTATCACCAGCAAACTGGTTTTTTTTTTTGTTGTTGTTGGGGGGGGGGGGTGCTTTCACACCGTGGGAGGTGATGCTTGTGGGACTCCAATTTGTTTGTGGCTCCTCGGACTGAAGAAGTCCTTTGGATGAAGGACAAAACGTCTCAGAAAAAAAAAGGATAGTGTGCACTTGTTTTTTCTCCTCTGCCTTTAAATATTCAACTCTATTTTAGTCACAAGTAGTATTTTGAAGTTGCAGTCAAAATTTATTGTGTTAGTGGCAGGGAGTGGCACACAAACATTAAAACAACAACTTTTCTTTTTTGGTCTCGTTATAATGACTTCAGACTTTTCATCATCAGAAAATCTTTAAATCAAAATATTTGGCTCTACAAGCTGAGCTTCAGCTGCACCTGTAGTCATGGTGAAAAGGAAGAGCAGTCTTATGTGAACAGCATCAAAATGTTTTACACTTTATCATAATTTTTTACACTCAAACTGGCTATAATGCTGAAATTGTATACTTGACATCTTTGTAAAATAAATTGCATTGTATTAGTTTAAAGGTTGTTCAGTTTTTAAATTTTTAGGCATTTCTGTAGTGCAGCTCTCCTTACGGCCTCATTGTGTTCACTCTTCACATTGAATCTGCTTCTACTTAATTGTAAAACAAAAGAAAAGATTTATGTGCGTCTGATCATCTGCATCTCAAGATTTCTAGAACTGGACGGAAGGCATATTTTGTTTGCAGATTTCTTCGTTTAAATTTATTGTTTTTATTTTAATATTTTAGGTCACCAAAGGTAAGTCAGAAACTTCATGTGAAACCACTCCAATGTAGATTAGTCATATGTCGGTTTACGTCATCCTGAGAGATATACCTCCACTCGTACCTCTGTTTGCTGGACTGCAGTTCAGATGTTCTGACTTTTCCTTTTGACCCTGCAGCTTAGAAACACCTTCAAATCCAAGCAGCCAATTTAAGAGCAGCGTCTGTTGTTTTCCAGACAAATTGGAAAAAGCATTGGCCACAGATTGGACAGTGATTCTTCATCATTTTCTCTGAATCGTTTACAGTTTTTTTTCCGACTTTTCTTCACTTCAGCTTCTAACTTCTCTCCATTAAAGGTCTGATTGATGAAGTTCAGATGGATTTCCTTCCACCATTATCCTGTGTATCCTCTGTAACTTCTGACGATCTGTTCCACAGATCATTAAGTCTTTTGACACCTTCCTGATCAATCCCACATTTGGACTCGGTTTTGAAAGAGAAAAGAAAAGTTGTGAAGTTTTAAAACATCTTCCATTTTGGGGACACTCCAAACCGAATATATTTTTATTGTTTATTTTTTAATCTGTACAGGAACAAGAACTTTTTTTTTTTTTTACATCTAAATTTCATGAAGGGATTTTGCCACGTCTTGATGGTTGGATGTTGAACCCAAGTGCAGGCCATGGAGACTTGGAAATTTACGCAAAGAAATGATTTATTAATAAAAAGCAAAGTGGCAAACTTACATTAAACGCTGGAGACATGGAGGGGAGAAGGAACATGGAGCTTGACAAGAAAATGCCCAGACAGCAAGGAACACAAAGACGCAGACTTAACTAGGGACGTTAATGACAGACAAATGACAACACCTGGGCAGGACAACAGGTGGTGGAGGTAAGAGCTGATTACCGTATTTTTCGGACAATAAGGCACACTTAGAATCCTTTAATTTTTCTCAACAATTGGCAGTGAGCCTTATAATCTGGTGCACCTTATGTATTAATTCTGGTTGTGCTTACTGACCTCAATCTAATTTTATGTGGTTATTGTGAATAAGTTGAATAAAGTTTGACTTATCTGACTGTTTTGTTTCGCTTAATGCGCCTTATAATCCCGTGCGCCTTATGTATGAAAACAGACCCGTTCATTGATATTGTGCCTTATAGTCCAAAAAATGGTACATGGGGGAAAATAACTGAGGAGCACGAACAAACACAAGAGGGAGATAAACACAAGGGAACCAACTCCTCACAGATTTAGCATTATAACTCAAAGTGTCGTTAAATGTCATATTGGTTTCAAGTGTAACATGACAACTAACCCAGAAGCTGATCAATGGGCATGTGTGGACTAAAACTTAATAATTTCATAAGTTAGGATGGTGAAAGATGGCAGCACAGTGGCACAACTGGTAGAGCTGCTGTCTCTCAGCGAGCAGGTTACCCTGGTTCAAATCCTGGTCTGTGGGCCATTCTGGGTGGAGTTTGCATGTTCTCTCTGTGCATGCGTGGGTTTTCTCCGGGTGCTCCGGTTTCCTCCCACAGACCAAAAACATGCACGTTAAACTGAGTGGTAACTCTACATTGTCCCTAGGTGTGAATGAGAGAGTGAATGGTTGTTTGTCTCCATGTCCCTGTGATGGACTTGCAACCTGTCCAGGGTGTCCCCCGCCTCTTGCACAGTGATGGCTGGACATGGACACCAGTGACCCCCGATACCTGAAAAGGAAG